TCCTGGCTGCCCACTCACATGGTGTCTCAAGGCCAAGCGTCCAACGCACCCAGCCATTGCGGCCCGTCAGGTGCGCAATACCCCACCAAGTCCGCCAGCGAGCCCACTGGTCACTGGTCACTGACCGCCAGCAAGCCCACTGACCACTGATCAGCCCGCAGCAGACGCGCTATGCTGCTCATGCCCCTCAAGCCCCGGCACCCTGCCATTGCCTGCGCACCTCTCGTCACTTCACCGCCTTCCATCCGACACCGGCCGCATCTCGAAGCCCGACCCAACATGGGGTCCTGGCATCATAATCGGCGGCAGTAGCCTGATGCACCCTGCAGCTAGCCACTGCGGTGGTGTTTATCAGATCAGATCAAATCCCATCAGGAAAGGAGAGTGGATATCGTCGCCGCCTGCGACTCTTCAGCCTCGACACAGCCTGGCCGTCATTAGAGGCCAAAATATCGTTGGGGATGTCTTGTCTGGCACGACCATGCCAGCTCCATCGTACCCCAACGAACACTCTCGTGACCTACCTACGCACCTGAGATGGGTAGTTACACAACGTAGCCTGCTCCCACCCTCATGGCCTTGTTTGTGGGTGTCCATGTCTCGCGTCTTGGTACTAATCAGCTCGTGAATCCAATCATGGGGCTCAGCCTCACGTACCTGAATCCCGTGCCAACAGGTACCACCATTCGTGCATCATTCCCTCACACGTACCCCAGAATACCTCACACTTTCGCGAACACATCACGCACTGGAGAAACAGTCTCGTCATCGTACAAACATTTGGATTCTTTTACACTCCATAAACGCCGTTTCCATGTCTACTAGATACCCATACACGCATCGAGAGCCCAAGCTAAGGGGGGGGTTCGGGGAGGCATACTTACTCCGGTCATGATCAACTCTTTCGACAATTGTCGTCGCAAGGCAAAATAGTGAAAAAGCCCACGGCAAACACACAGCTCCGAAAAGACTGCATTCGACAGCCAGAGCCGTCGCAGATTATCCCTCAGAAGCCCACAAAGCCCACAAGCCCACAGATGAATGTGATCGCACAAACCCGGTCCACTTCCAACCACCGCGACATCTCTTCGACTTCCCTGCAAGCAGGACAGAAGAGAGTGATCGCGGTGACGAAAGCTTCGTACCGATTCGTGCTCGATCCAAGCCGTCTGCCCACTGTGTAGTATCTCGGTGTGATCCAAAAGAGCCCTCTGATTGAAGTGTCAAGTGCGTGTCTCTCAATGCTCGAAGAAAAGCGTCTCAAACTGCCATCCGAGTGCCAAGTCAGAAGCAGTGCCTCAAAAAATGGTGCCACGAGCCCACGGGTCCCGAGAGTGCTCAAAACAAAAGCCATCAAAGCCCACAGCTCCGGGTGGAGCGCATAGCCCTCAGTGTGCCTCTCTTCCTCTCTCTTCCTCTCTCTCTCTCTCTCTCTCTCTCTCTCTCAGTACAAGTTTGTCCTCAGATGAGTCCCGACAAACGACGAAAGGGGGGGGTATCATGCTTAGAAGGTGACCTTGGTGCCCTTGAAGTCACCGAGACCGCCACGGTTGGTTGAGGAGAAGCCACCACGGCCACCGCCACGGCCACCACCACGGCCGCCGAAGCCGCCGCGACCGCCACCACGACCTCCGCGGTCACCGAAGCCACCGCGACCGCCACGGCCGCCACCACGACCACCGAATCCACCACGGCCGCCACCGCCGCCGTCACGCTGGGGGCGCTGACCGGCGTAGTCCAGACGGACGGCGCGGCCGGAGCTGCCCTCACCGAGGTACTGGCCATTGAGCTCGGAAAGAGCCTTCTTGGCGTCATCGATCGAGCTGAAGGAGACATAGCCGAAGCCCTTCAGGTTGCCAGACTCACTGCGGGGTAGTTAGCACCATGTTCATGAATGTGGTAGAACCATATAACTTACGGGTCGGTGGGCAGGCGGACGCTGGTAGGCTCAGCAACAGTGGCGAAGAAGGCGTGGACGGTGTCCTGGTCCATCTCGAAGGAGATGTTGCCAACGAAGAGGGTGTCGCTCTCAGGGGAGAGGCTGTCACCGTGGCGCTGGGCACGGTCGTTGGCGCGGTCGCCAGGGTTGTCGCTGCGCTCGGGGCGCTTACCGGAGAAGTCGATGTTCATGTTGCGGCCCTCAAGCTCAGTGCCGTTCTTGGCCTCGAGAGCGGCCTTGGCAGACTCGGCGTCGGAGAAGTCGACGTAGCCGAAGCCACGGCTGCGACCACCCTCCCTGTCGGTGATGACACGGGCAGAAGTCAGGTTGGGGAACTCAGAGAAGGCCTGGTACAGGATGTCATCGTTGACGGCCCAAGCGAGGGAGCCGACGAACAGGGTGGCGCTCTGCTCAGACATGTCCTCAGTGCGGGCCTTCTTGGGGGGGATGACGGGGGTCATCGAGAGCCTTGCGCTTCTTGCTGGGCTCCTCGGCCTTGGGGGGCCTCCTCCTTCTCATCGGAGTCGGAGTCGGAGGGAGTCGGGAGTCGGAATCGGAGTCAGTCGCATCAGAAATTAATAAAAGAAATCAGCAAGCAGCGCAAAGATGGCGGGACATTGGCGGGTTCTACTCACAGCCTCGGCCTTGGCAGCGGGCTTCTCATCCGAGTCGCTCTCGGAAGAATCAGAGTCAGAGTCGGAGTCGGAGGACTCAGCCTTCTTAGTGACACCGTTGGACTTGGCCTCCTTGGTCTTGGGCTTGGCCTCCTCCTCAGAGTCGGAAGAGTCGGAAGAGTCAGCCTCGGACTCGGAGTCAGAGGAGTCGGAAGACTCCTCCTTCTTGGCAGCGGCCTTCTTGCCGTTGGCGGCCTTCTTCTTGGGCTTCTCCTCCTCAGACTCAGAGTCAGAAGAGTCGGAGGACTCGGCCTCAGAGTCGGAAGAGTCGGAGCTCTCAGACTCAGACTCGACCTTCTTCGACTTCTTCTTGGTAGCCTTCTCAGCGACCTCCTTGGCGACCTTCTTAGACTTGGCCTTGGGGCTGTCGGCGGGCTTGGTGACGCCGGCCGCCTTCACCTTGGTGAGAGGGTCGGAGGAGCCCTTCTTGCTCGACTTGACGGAAGTAGACTTGCCCATTGTGACGGTGCGGGGTAGGGTAGATGAAGGGTGTTGGAGAGAAGGTAATAATGGAAGGGATTTCGCACGAAGAATGGTAATCGAAGAATCCCGAGAGAGTGTGTAGGAAAGACAAAGGCTCAGATTGCGCTGGGCAGGTGCAGGGTTTTAAGGAACCTTGGGGGGAGACTGCCGTGGTGGTTGGGATGGTCGCAAAGGGTCCTCGATTTTTTTGATTTTTTAGCGGGTCCTGCAACTTTTTCTGCAGCTGTTGTGGAGCGGGCGGTGAGCACGAAAGAAGCCTCCATGCGCACGGCCAGCAGCCTGGGTACTTTGAAGGTACGTACCGTCTTCCGTGTCTGCCTGGATTGACAGGCCACAATCGAAACTCGAGCTTGCCGCGCAGACCCGTGCCCATTGAACGTCGTGACATTACCAAACCACTCCAAGCCAGCATATCCCACCCTCACGAACGGTTACGCCTCCTCAACTCTGTCCACCGCCCCGAGCGACGCCAACCGCAAAAATGCCGACTCCCGAATCCCCTATGTTTCTGGCTCAGAAGCCGAAGGTCGCCCCCACATTCGACGGCGTCGACTACGATGACAACAAAGCATTCAAGCAGGCACAGGACGCTATCATCAGGGAACAATGGGTTGGAGCTATGATGGTGCGCCTCACTGGCGAGGAGCTGGGCAAGTGCTACTTGCGCGAGGGTGTCAACCACCTGGAGAAGTGCGGTCACCTACGAGGTTAGCACGCCGAGGTCCCCTCCGCCTGGTCGATACATGACCATTGGGAAAGAGGTTTTTGGGAAAACAACACTAACAAATTCACAGAGAGGTACCTGCAATTGCTGAAGGAGAAGAAGGTCACGGGTACTCTGTTCGAACAAACAAACTACATCACGAAGCAAGAGAACAAGCAATGAGGGGCGGCAATCGGGATGTCTGAACTTCAAGGCTGTGGAGATCAGGAGAGGCAGGCATATAGTCTTCTGCAAGGATAGAGACGAAGTGCAATCAGCGATTCTTAGAGAGTTTTGAGGCCAGGGAACGTGGTTTGACGGCATCAGCCCAGAGCCATATCTCAGCATGTACATATAGAGTAGTCGAACGAACCGAGTTATGCACCTATCCAACAAACACACGTTCAAATGTCTGAAGCGCGAACACGCGAGCTCCCGATTCTCAGTATTTCTACGAATGCTAAGGTACTTAGTTGGAGAAAGCGTTGAAAATCTGGGGGCGTATTCAAGTCGTGTCTCTATTCATCAGTCGTCAAGAGTGGTTGACGCCTCACGTGCCAAGACTGCGCACCGAGCTCATCCCGCCCACCCCAGAATTTTTAGTCCCTATCTCCCAAACACGCAACAGACCTCACCTCCATCATCAGCAAAACGCCAGTCCTCCATCACGGCCGACGTCTCGCCTCTCCCCTAGCCGCGACAATGATCTGCCGAACTTGCCTCCGTCGCGCAGCGACGAGCCTTCCTCTTCGCACTGTCGCTCCGATCCCCTTTGCCAGACCATTCTCCATCTCTGCTTCCACAAGGTCATCACCAGCAGGCAGCCTGGGCACCTCCGAAGCTTCGCCTGCCTCGTCGACCGCCGAACCCACCGCCACACCCACTCTCTCCACGCCCATCGACCTCCCTTCCGCTGCCGCCGCGAAGCCGGTCCGCGAACCCTCCTCCTGCCAGGCCGGCACGGTCCTCAATGGCCTGAACTACTTCAAGGGCAAGACCGACCCTGTCGCCCTCGCCGACGAGGAATACCCCGACTGGCTCTGGGACTGCCTGGTCTTCAAGGCTAAGGAAGATGCTGGTGCAGATGCTGAGGCTGCCGACGAGTTCTGTGAGTATATATCCACCCGGTCTGCTCTGCTTTGCCGATGAGCCCCCAAACGGCATCTGCGCGCGACAGTACCAAGCTAACGCTCTCCTAGCCAAATCTGCAAAGCTTCGTCGCAAGGCCGCCAAGCGCAAGGCCAAGCTCCTCGCCGAGGGTGGCATCGATGCCCTGGCACCCAAGGTGCCTCTGTACCAGCAGTCTATCAACCTGCCTGGTGAGGAGGGCGGCAGTGTCGAGGACAACCTCATGGCGGCTGGAAAGCGCGAGGAGCTGAGACAGGCCATGCGCAGCGAGCGTAAGCGCAAGATCAAGGAGTCTAACTACCTCAAGTCTATGTAAAGCGCATGGGTAATTGGACGTGGATAACCGGTGTGGGCGCTGTTCGGGTCATCATCTGCGTCCAGGACCCGGCGATTGATGTATCATAACGGGGCAGCTGGGGAGCTACACGAATGGTGTGGGACATGTACACTAGGATAGAGTTGGCGTGATGCCGGCCTGTATACCAACACTTTGTGTATCAAATAGACTCAAGTCATGGTCATTTACCGGTGGGGCCCTTCCGTGCCAGTTTGGACATTGGTGCTACGGTCTCTGCCATGTAGAGGCTGCTCTGTCACGGTCCTACTCCTCTTCCTCCTCCTCTTCATCCTCGGGCGGTAAGGAAGAAAGCTTGACCCCCAATTCGGCCTTGAGATTCCGTAGACGACTCTCAATCCTGCGCGACAGGATTTTGTTTCCTGCATTTTGTGCAAGTTCTGCTTCTGTTTGCGCGATACTCTTCTTGAGCGCCGCAATGTCCTCGCGTACGCCCTTGATCCGAGTCTGCTCCTCGTTGTCAACGTCACTGTCATCGTCTTCGTCGCTAACTTCTTCCTCTTCTTCCTCTTCGTTTGCACTTTCCTGTGCGCGGCCGGCGGGCGTGCCAGAGTTCATTGTACCCGGAGTCACGCCATCGAGTTGTGTGGCTGGTGTCTGTCCTTCTGGCTCGTCGTCGTTCATCATCTCCATTTCAAGTGCAGCCTCAAGGTCGGCCGCCATGTCGTCGTCATCATCCTCGACCATCGCACCTCCAGCGTAGCCTGACGCCGGGAAATAGCCGCTGTCATCGGCCTCGCCGTCGGCATCCTCCTCATCTGAGTAGCCTGCGTCTTCGTCGCCTTCATCTTCAGAGTGCATTTGTCGGTCGTCCATGAACTCATACCGTGAACTCACGGCAGCAGCATCAGCTTGAAGCAGCTTCTTAACCTCTGCCTCTTTGAGCTCGATTTCTGACCGCTCAATAACTTTTGCGAATCTCTGGTTGACGGCATCGTGCATTGGGGGAGTGAGCCCGTGCGGCCACTTGAATCCTGGCTGGCCCATAGGTGGGAGAGGGGCCTTGCGTGCTTCATCCTCGGATGCTACCTTCTGAAAAACAAGCAGCATGTTGCAGATATCGGCAGACTTCATGAAGGTCTTGCGATCCCAAGTCTTCATACCCTCTGTGATTGTAGGCAGCTCGAGCATGACAGCGGCGTACAGCTGACCCTTAACTTGCACGACAGCACGCCGTGCCTCGTCTTCAAGCCACTTGATCGCGAGGTCTGCGCCGCCCTGCGATCGGGGCATGCCAATCTTGCCCTCCTCCATACATCTTCGGATGTAATCGCAGTGCTCTCCAGGCAGCATGCGCAAGACAAATTGCTCTTCGATGGTCGGATCTATCTCGCGGTCGCTCGCTTCCGAATCGTAGCCATCGCCAGGCGGGTGGTTCGGGGGCTTGCCCCTCGACTTAAGGATGAGGCCACTGCTCGTGCGCGGCAAGGCGGAGTTGGGTGTCTTGAGAAGCTTGATCCTCTTCGCCGGCTGCCCAGTAATGGGGTCATCCTCATCGTCGATCTCGTATTGCTCCCTCTTTTTTGACTCGATCAGTTTGTTCGTTGGCTTGGTCTGGCGGCCCGCTTTCGTCTTCGCGTTTGTTGGTTTGGGTGCCGCAGAGGCCGGCGTCGGAGGTTGTGACGCCTTGAGTCTGATCTTTGGTGTCGCGAGTGGCGTAGCGGCTGACTGAGGCGCTTTTGTCGCGTTGGCATCGCTGAAGGAAGCAGCGCGACTCACGCTGAGCTTCAGCTTCGGCCGCGGCGGAGGAGCGCTAATGCCCGACATGGATAATGTGGGAGGAGTCCGGCAGAAGAATCAACGTATGATCGTGTCGACGAAGAAAGCTTGAATCGTCCAGGTAATTCGAGCCGACACTGTCGAGATGTGGCTGTTTGCGCCGAGAGTGAGGAGTGAGTCGTCGTTTACGTCCTTGACTGACATGCACGGAGAGCGAAGCGCCAAGTGCACGTTGATTAGGTAAGAAACAAGGCAGTTACGGATGCGCTTGTGGAGAGGTATGTCGGAGGCTGCAAGGACAGAGTTAGAGTTGGGTCAAGGCTTGTGGTGATGGGAGGCGTGTCGGGGGCAAGAGTTGGCTCAAGTCAACCCCGGATGAAGGAAAGTCAACGATACGTCTGAAAACCGAGGCAAGGTACACGAAGCTAGGTAGGCCGACGGCAGATAGCCTTGCAGGCTGAAGTTGGTTCGAGCTCGGGAGCCCACCTCCACTGGGGCGTCTGTCCGGGAGTGCCCCAGGCGCTGTTAGCTGCTCCACTCCAAGTACCTGGACCTGCAACGACGACTGCCATCGCTCTTCAACTACGGAATCCTCTTTAAAAGGTAAGTCAAATACTCCTACAAGACCAACAGTTAGAGCTTCTGTCCGGGTTCACGAAGGTAAAAAGCGGCACACGTAATATGAATCGGGCAACTGGGCTTTCTTTTGACAAAAAGTGATATTGGTAAGACCATCTCATCAAACGAACAAGTCAATTGGCCCACGTGACTTAGAATGCCCTTTGCAGATCCCCATCCGGGCAGAGACCTGTACCGCGAGGTAGGGGTACTTAATTTGCGCCGTTATCTTAGGTGCCCAGCACCGATAGGGACCCCTGAAGCCAACGAAGCCGACCTGACGTTGGCTGGCTCATGAAATTGTTCCTGACCCCCTTTCCAACCCGCCACGATTTCTCCGAGTATACAAGCATCAACTCCAACGATATAGCCACGACAAAGTGCATGCCGAGACGCCCTTTTGATACCCGAATCCTGGTCGAATTTGAACTGAATCGAACGAATTGAAATAACCGCCCAATATGTCGTCTTCAGCTGTACGTCTCAATCAGTGTCGGTGTCGGTGGGAGGATGCTGTGTGGGGAGGGGAGAAATACGTCTTGGCTGACCTGACAATGCTGCTATACAGACTTTCCGCCGAAAGAAGAATGTGAAGAAGGGTATTCAGTTCTGCCTGATGGTCTGCGGTGCCTCGGGAACTGGTGCGTCGATTCCGGTCGAGTCCAATCATACAGCAAACTAACATGATCCCATCACACAGGCCGGACTACCTTCGTCAACATGCTCTGCGGCAAGGATGTGTTGGCACACAAGGATGTCGATGACGAGAGCGCTCAGGTTGACCAGGGCCTCAAGATCAAGCCCGTTACTGTCGGTGCGTGTACGCCGACTTCTTGAACAAGCGATTCACGCTGACACGGAACCTCTACAGAGCTCGACCTGGACGAGGACCGCACCCGCATCTCCCTGACAATCGTCGACACCCCCGGCTTTGGAGACGAGATTGATAACGAGGCCTCGTGAGCAGTTCCCGGCCGGCAGCGATTGCGTCTGTCGATCTTTGCTAACAACGTCTCTACAGTTTCGGTGAAATTGCCGGCTACCTCGAGCGACAGTATGATGACCAGCTCGCCGAGGAGTCGAGGATCAAGCGCAACCCTCGCTTCAGGGACAACCGAGTGCACGTCATGCTTTACTTCATCACGCCTACCGGCCATGGGTGCGTCCTGCCTGCATACTTACTGTCCTCATGCACTTGTGACACACTGACTGACAGCCAATAGGCTCCGTGAGCTTGACATTGAGCTCATGCGCCGCCTTGCTCCCCGCGTCAATGTTATTCCTGTTATCGGCCGTGCCGATTCCCTCACACCCTCCGAACTCGCCCAATCCAAGAAGCTGATCATGGAGGATATCGAGTACTACCGTATCCCCGTCTACAACTTCCCCTACGATGTCGAGGAGGATGATGAGGAGACCGTCGAGGAGAATGCTGAGCTGCGGAGCCTCATGCCCTTCGCTATCGTCGGTAGCGAGGAGGTTGTGGAGATCGGTGGCCGTAAGGTTCGCGCCAGGCAATACCCGTGGGGTGTTGTCGAGGTGGATGACCCCAAGCACTCTGACTTCCTGGCCATCCGCTCCGCTTTGCTGTATAGCCACCTGGTCGACCTGAAGGAGATTACTTTCGACTTCCTCTACGAGAACTACCGCACCGAGAAGCTGTCCAAGGCTGTGGAGGGTGGTGCCGAGGCGTACGTTCCAGTTTCCTTTTCATACTTGCAGACCAGTACCGCTAACATCCCCGATAGCGACTCGTCCATAAACCCCGATGATATGGTGTCTCAGTCCTACCGCCTCAAGGAGGAGCAGCTCCGAAGGGAGGAGGAGAAGTTCCGCGAGATCGAAATCAGAGTCCAGCGCGAGATCAACGAGAAAGCGCCAGGAGCTGTTGGCTCGCGAGTCGCAAACTGCGCGACATCGAGCGCGCATCGAGCGGGAGAACTGGCGCTGCTGTGCTCAGCAGCAGGCCGCCGCCGCTGCTGGCCGCGGCCAAACAACGCTGCCGCGAACGGGGAGAACAATGGCAAATAAGTCTAGGGGGGAGGAAGACACTGGCCATAATTGGCCGTTGATTGTCATTTGCTAGCCCGTT